AATTTTGCAGAAACTTCAACGCTTTATTAAAATTCAACAAAAAATTATCATGGTCGATTGAGTTAAGCAGATACCAGTTTATCAGTATCACTTAGGACTTTTTCAATAATTTAAGAATTTTTTTTCTTAATTTTAGAAAGTAAATAGTTGCATTCTTTGTTAGATAGTAATATAGTAATAATTTAAGAATTTTTTTCTTAATTTTAGAAAGTAAATAATTGCATTAATATAATGGGATGTGTGACACTTATCTATTGATTTCAGTAGAAAGATTAAGCTTAATCTTTATTTTCTTCTTCTTTGCCCCAAATAAGACTGGATTCCAATTACTACATCTCACTACACTCACGTGATGACTCCCTTAAATCTGTTGAGCTACCAAACAAAGTGAAAACCAACCAAGAAATTTTCAAAGTTTTAAATAGAAACTGAAAGGTCCCATTTATTTTCAATTTATTTCTGTCCTTTTCCCAAACTCCATCTTTTTCCTACAAACCGTGACTTGCAGTACTCTTTGTTGCCTGATTTGAGAGATTCACACTGAAACAGATGCTGGACTCATCACCTCAAAGCAATTTCAGGTAAAAACCCAGTTCCCCATTTCCCATTTTTGCAAGTTTCCAGCATTGTGATTAGAGTTCTGAAAAAATGTTGGGTTTGGCCTCAGAGGAGAAACGATGGGAAAAGGAGAAGGTGATGGCATTAGGACTGTAGAGTGTTTGAGAGGGAGATTGCTTGCAGAGAGAGTGGCCTCAAAGGCTGCAAAAGATGAAGCGGACCTCATGGCCAAAAGGGTATGATACCGTTCTCTTGGCTCCAAAATGTGAACTTTTATGTACATCTGCTCATCCACCCAAATTAGCAAAAACAATGATGGTCATTTACGACATCGCTGAAAGTTTGTTCCTTTTTTTTTGGTTCTCCACTTTCTGTCATCTGGGTGTTTATCAAAATGTGATCTTTCTTTAAGATGGGTAATTTCAAGATTTTTCTTGCCTGATTTATGGCCTTGCAGTTGGATGAGCTAGAGAAGCAACTCGCAGAAGAGATCAAATTTAGGGATAGGGCTGAGAAGAGGCTAAACTATGCTCTGAAGAAGCTGAAATCACTGAATCTATCGAATCGATCAGAGAGCTCGGCGGGTTCATTAGAGAGTTGGAAGGCTGATTCAGGGACCGTTGATTCTTCTGGGCAATGTGGATCAGGGGAAGAGGGGGGAGAGAGGAGGAGATCAATGGGAGTGAAAGACGTCGAAGGAGATGATGGAGTTGATAGTTATTCCGGTGATTCGACAAATAAGATGGGGGCTTTTGATGAAGGGAGCTGGAGTTCTGTTGGGACTGGGAATTCTTGGATTAAGGAATGGCGTGGTCGAGATGAGGATAAAAGTGGCAAAGACCATGAGGAATCGGTTGATCATGATTCGAGGTAAGTTTATGCGCAATGATGTCTTTCTTTCTGCACTAAATTTCTCTCAAGATTAAGATTACAGTGTTTTTCATGTGTTTGCTTCATACGGTTCGTATATCTTCTGAGTACTAGGAACAGTTAGAAGTCTTGGTTTGGAGTGTCCTTACTTAGGATCTCATTTTTGAAAATTTGGAGCATTTCTTTGTTCTTGTGAATATCTCATTATTCTCAGAGGACACTTGAATGCTCCAGATTAGAATCCTTGCTTATTCTTATAAAGAGATTTATCGCCGGTTGTTTGATGCCTGAGAATTACTTGTTGAGTACTAAAGGTTCAATAATAATGACATGACTGTGGTTTGGTTTCTTGGCAATGAGGGTTCATATTGTTAACAAGTCAAAGAAGTTAGATCCTAATTTCCCATGATTTCACATGTGCGTGATGGAGAGCAGGTGCGGTATTGATTTATGAGATAGTACCACATTTATAGAAATGATGAGGTTTTCTAAGAACTTCGAGATTCATTGAGAAGAAGCATGAGATACATAACACAGTCTAGTCATCAAGAGACTAAAACTAGATGCAGCTGGTCATTTACTTTTAGGCTTTGTTGGATGAGCTATACAAATTTTTAACATGCATGAATGCTATAGAATCATCGACAAGCAAAGGCTTCATTTGGTAATTCAGAAAGCGGCTTCAATCCAACTAGATTGATTTTCTCCACGCCACCAAAATCATTGGTAATCTAAGGCTTGAATGTCGTTTCATGCTTATCTAAGTGAGAACGGAGTTACTCTTTGATTATAGTTTTTCCATGAAAAGCTGGACTAAAGTTGTTAAATAGGACAGTTTTGTTCAGTTATGATATCTCTAAACCATGCTTTTATCATGTTTCTGAGAAGTCAGTTACAGCTTGAACTCTAGACTACTTTTGTACCATGACTTTAACTAACTTTTCGATCATCAATACTGCAAGGAAAATTACATAACTTTGTGCCTCTTGGAACAGTTTGATTGCAAGAATCTCTTACCCTGTTCCTAAATAATAGATATTGCATAAATTTTGTTTAATGTTATCGGTTAAACTATTAAACTCATACTACAGCTTTCTCCCCTTCAACTTCAACTCGGAAGCAATCATATAGGATAACTTATGTTATATACAAGATTCTTCTCATCAATCTCTCTGCAAATTTAGATTTTTCCCTCCGTAATGTCCTCCTTTTTTATATATATAATTTGGGAGGAGAAAGGATAGGGAGCAAGCATGCACCTAGGCATGTAGCGTATAAAAGAAAAGTTTTGGTTGTACATCTAAGCAAAACTCCAAAACCATGGCCGTGACAGTATCAACGTTTACATCCTAAAACAGTTTTCATACCCACAACCATATTTACAGCAAAAGTATCAAAAGTTTTGTTCCCTTCATTATGTTCTACCCGTCAAAAATCAGAGATTGTTGAAGAGAGAAATTTTCTCCTGCTTTTGTACGAGCAACTCTCTTTGTTGATGCTCATCAAGGTAGCGTTTGACTGATCTCTGCAGACAACCTTCACACAATGTTAACGAACAAAACAAGCCAATGCATCAGGATGAACATTCAAATGATATGCTTGCTCTAGTTCCTTTGAAGAGCATGCTGCCCAGTTCCAATCCCCGACGTTCAGATTTCAATGGCGACAATGTACAGAATGCGCTCGTTGCACTTCGGAATGTAAAAGAGAAACTGAGAACTTCAATGGAGAGAAAAAAGGTGCTTCTCTATCCTACACAAAAGCGCTTTATGGCCAGTATTAAGTGACATGTTCTTGAAGACCTTTTGTAATGATTTTGTAATAATTTTCTTCACTGGAGATCTTACTAATAAATTCTGTAATGATTTTGTAAAGAAAAGAAAGGACCATCTTCTTTCTGTTGAGTCCATTTTTACTGTGATGTCAAGTAATAATACCATGTCTATGGTGGATTTTATTTTCGAGCGGATTGGTGAATTTTGTTAGGATGTTCAACTGGATTTTTCATTTTTTTGATTTTGATGTTTATAGGACTTGATCCTTCAAATTTTTAGGGTAAATTTCACTAAACCCCAAAAGTTAGGGAATTCTAGGAAAAAAAACCGCCCAAAACATTTTAAGTTTTTCACTTAATCCCCAAAATGACTGCTTTATCTGCTTATGTGATATTCTTTGTTTAGGAATTCAAAATACATACTGTGCTATATGAGGGTTATCAAAACATTTGGAGAGTTTTTTTGGAATTCCTAGACTTAATTGATGATTTAGTGAAAGTTTCAAATTTTTGGGGGGGTTAGGTGAAATTTACCCCTACTTTTCACAATACACTCCCTTGATTACTTTTAATGACCATGAATCCTTGTGGTTGAATAATCTTTGTTTCCATAGTATCATTTACGACAAAACAATTGCGTAAAATCAATATTCAAGCAAATTCATAGGTTTCATTATTTAGTAAAAAGTTTGTTCTTTTTTAAAATTAGAGACAGCAAAACTATAGATTTCTTGTTTAACTTTTTCCAATATGCCTTGCAACAAGATTAGGTATATACTGCTATTAAAAAAAAAGATTAGGTATAAACTTGAGCGCTATCATAAAAATCAACTGCAGAGACGGAAATCCTCGGATCAATTTTGAATCTCATAACATCTGAAACAGTAACATTTTCGTAAAATAAACAGTAGTGACGTCAGGACTAACGTTTGATCATAGTTTATGATCTCAAAACTTTGCAGTGTACTGAGTTTTTATTCTTCTATATTTTTAATCCTAAAGCTAGATTAACAAAAATGGGTGATCTGCTGCCTCTATTCCTCAAAGAAAGATTAAATAATTTCCATCAATTCCGTCATTTCAGGAGAGTGCACAACTATTGACTTCCCTTTCTCTGTAAAGATACTGTATAAAGCTTCGTAATATCCAGGGGCGGAGCTGAATGGGTGTCTTTGGGTTCCCATGACACCAGTAAAAACTGAATATCTACCAGAGAGCACACATAAAAATAACAAAAGTATAGATGGTTTAGCGGAAAAGGGTCTCAAGGAACCCAGCATGCGCGCGGGTTCTATAGATGGTTTAGCGGAAAAGGGTCTCAAGGAACCCAGCATGCGCGCGGGTTCGAATCTCGCAAGGAATCCATCATGCGCGTGGGTTCGAATTTTTTCAGCTTAATGATAGTTTGGTGGCTAATGTTGAGAGAGATGTATTTTCCACCATTACCGATGTATCTATAGGACACCATAAGATTAAAATCCTGGCTCCGCCACTGGTAATATCCTAAGTTTTCACTGAAAGATTTTAGAATTAATGGTTGTTTTAATCTAGTGGTGACTCGACTTTTTTTTTTATGATAGTGGAAAAGATCTGAATCCAGTAATCTATTCATTAAGAGTCTAATCTAAGTAGAGGTCTGTAACCTCCTCATGAAACTGGATATACCTTTAGGTTTATCATCAGCAATTTTGATTTTGGTAGATAGACTACTTGAGTGATTATTGTTTTACTCTTTCACCACCAAAGATAGGTCTGAATACAAGGGCGACAAATTTTAGAACAGGATATTACAGGGGCCTATGTGCAGTGAATAATTAAGGGAATTTCCTTTGCCCTATTCACGAATCAGAGAATTATGATTCATGGACGAATGATCTGATTATTATTATTATTATTATTATCATCATCATTAGCACATGAAGAATATGCCTACCCACTAGTACTATGTCTGTGTTGGGCCAACTTTTAAAACTCATGTAACTTGTTCGGCCGAAGTGTAAGCCTAGTGGTGGAAGAGGAGAGAGAGAGAGAGAAAGGGTGGATTTCACAAAACTCCCTGAACTTGGGGTGATTTACGTAAAACTTTTGAACTTTAAAAATTATAGGAAGACCCCTAATTTTCGAGAAGTTTCATAAAGTCCTTCTAACTATTAAAAGAGTTTCACAAACCGAAGGGCTATTTTGTATAAAGATAGCCATTTATATAAAGTGTTTCTATGATGCTCAAACATCTCTACGGCCTAATAGTTCTCAAACCAGACTCTTTTGGATGAAGTGAGAGACCAAATGAAGAAATTTGTAAAATAGACCTATTTTACTAAATATTTAGTAAAAACAGACCATTTTACTAAATATTTAGCAAAGTAGACCTCTTTTTAGCCAACAGGCCAAAAAGAGGTCGCTTTTGCAAAACAGCTCTTTCGAAATATACGGAATTGATGGAAGTTCGTTCTTTTTTGTAGCATAGAGGATGCTCTGAAATTTGTTCAGATGACTAGCTATCCTAGAAGATAAAAATAGTTCTTGAATGGATGTTGAAGAAATGGAGGGAGTTGGGGGAGGGGGGGGGGGGGTTCTCTGCAATAACAAGCATTTAAAAAGTCTGATGCTTGCCTCCTGCTATATCAGCTATGGATGTGCAGGAACTTGATTATTTCAAGCAAAAAAAAGAAGAGCCAGAAAGGAGATAATTGGGGGGGGGGGGGGGTCTCTGCAATAACAAAGCATTAAAAAGTCTGATGCTGCCTCCTGCATATATCAGCTATGGATGTGCAGGAACTTGATTATTTCAAGCAAAAAGAAGAAGAACCAGAAAGGAGATAATGGTGCTTATCGCTTATGAGATAAAGATCATCTGCAGCGAAATGTTAAAGCTCAAAGACACATTGTCAAATAGGAAATGGTGCGAAGCATTGAGATTATTCCCTGTTTTTTGTCCAAAGGAGATCCTTGCAGTGAAGTTTGTATTTCCTTTTTTCCCTACGGTTAGATTCTCTACTGCTGTTAGTTGAGATTGCTTGATTTTTATATATGTTTCGTTTGAGAGCTCAGTTTAAGATAACTCCTTTTCTCAGCAAAGTATTAAAAGATTATTTCCCAATTTTCCCCCCATTTCCCTCTATCTTTTCCTTCTCCCAACTTGTAGGACGGTGTTTATTCAAAAGTTTAGTCCGAAAGTTTAGAGGGCTTTATCTAATTGTGTTATTTCGATATTAGCCCGACAAATACAATATCTTCAATATTTTGTATTTGTGCCTCAAATCTTTGAAATTACTTCATGCCCCTCGCTAAATCTTTAAATTATTTGTAGTAACCCGCCCCCCCCCCCCCCCCCAACTTCTTTAAATGATCTCAAGCCCGCAAATAAAATATTAGTATGTTGAATAACCGCCTAGTTAAAAATCCAGCAAAAAGGGGAGGATATTCTATTTATTTTAACTTTTTAGGTGATTTGTCAGTTATACTCATACAAACCCAAACTTATTAATCACTTTAACTTATACACGTTAAGCTCCTCAAATCTGTTTAATAAAACCAAACACGTACCTATTTCCACCTCATCTTCTCCAACATCTTCCCTAGGCTCTCTTCAGCTCTAATCCTAAGTTTGCATCAGATAGATTCATGCTGGGGAAGACATCAGAGAATACGCTGGAGAAGATGAAGTGAAAAAATGGACTTGAGTTAGGTTTTACTAAACAGATCTAGAGAGCTTAACAGATATAAGTTAAAGTGGTTGGGTTTGAGTCCTTGTGGGAGGGGTATAACTGGCGAATTATCGGCCATTTTAACTAGACTTTAAGTAGGGGCTTATTTCAATATACTAATAGTATTTGGGGGGGCTGAGGTCAATTTCAAGGATTTGAGGGCTAGTTTCGAAATATTGAAGAGTTAAACTTTAAAGATTTGGGGGGCCTGAAATAGAAATATTAAACATTTGGGGTGATAACACCGAAATGATCCTATCTAAGTTCGCGAGATTTTGTGCAAATCACCTAAAAGTTGAGGAAGTTTCATGAAATTACCCTTAAACAAAAACGTTGCTAAAATGGGCGGGCGGAGCGGTCGTTACTGTTCCGGCCGGTCAAACTTCCTTTGCCACCTCCACACCCAATTTAAAAAAATACAATTAAAACACCCAATTTAATAATTACTCAATTAATTACTCATCAAGAAAGCAACCCGAAGGTCGTAAAAGAATCGACCCACCAAATTCCCCCACCCATTTAAAACCAACCCATCCAAACAAAAATCATATCAGCACGAAATAAATTAAATAGGGAAAAAAAAGCCCTAATCCCCAATTGTCATAAAAATCTCACCTTTTCCCCCAAATTCTCATAAAAATCTCACGCTTTCCCCCAAATTCTCATAAAAACCTCACCTTGTACCCCAATTCATGACCTAATGAAGATCGTGAGCCCCTGCTGGAGGCCCTCATCGGCCAACAACGAATACAGCGACGATGGATCGAGAGGTCGCGGTAGAGCCGATGGATTGCTTTGGTATAAGGACCTAGGGCGCCACGTGGCGGGAGAATTCTCGATGGCGGTGGTTCAGGCGAACAATTTGCTCGAAGATTCGAGCCAGGTTGAATCGGGCCCGTTGAATTTGGAGAATTCGACTTTTGGGAGTGATTCTTGTTGTGGGACTTTCGTTGGGGTTTATGATGGTCACGGTGGGCCGGAGACCTCGCGGTATATTAACGATAATTTGTTCCGGAATCTGAAGAGTACGTGGTTAATTTTTCTTATTTATTGGTTAGATTTGAATTGGATTTTATTTGGATCATTTTTTGTTAATTTATTTGGCATTTCATAATAGAAATGAATTATCTTATGAAGAATTTGTTTGCTTACTAGCCTTGATTCCGCGGATTCTTTCCTTTGCGTGAGGAATTGGGGTTTTCTTTTGACTAATTCGATCTGTTGGAATTATGAATTGCAATATCTTTGAAGAGTTATATGAATGAACTGAGCTTCTTCCTTTCTTCAATAACCATTTGATGGATTTGTGGTATAGATTTATGAATTGCAATGATTTTGCGGTCATTAGATGTTTGTGAACATGATTTGAGTTTTTCATTTGTCTTGGGAATTGCAATGATTTTGCGGTCATTAGATGTTTGTGAACATGATTTGAGTTTTTCATTTGTCTTGGCCTCACATCTTTTGTTTAATGCGGTCATTAGATGTTTGTGAACATGATTTGAGTTTTTCATTTGTCTTGGCCTCACATCTTTTGTTTAATTATATCTGTAGTGTGTATAAAAGTTAGAATTTTGCAGAAATGGCCTCCTCCTTGGTGATTATTTTGATACTCCTGATAGTTGGTGTCTAATTGTAATTTCCCAGGATTTGGAATGTCTCTGTATGTTAGGATTTGCATTCCTTTATTTAGTATGGAAATACTATTCTATGTCTGGAATCTACTATGCAATTTATGTTGTAATGATTCATCGAAAGACATGTTTATTTGTGAGACTTAATACTAAGGCTTATTTCTCTTGCGAAACAAGAGGTTACGTGATAAGAACTTACAACTAGGTTAGATATATACAGTGGAGCTTACAAATTTAGATTCCTGACTATGAACTGTGAAGATGTTTTGGTTGAGAAGCTGATGCATAATTTTAGAATTAACTATTAGATCATGATTTAGTTGCTTATTCTAACTTTTTTTGGACCATATGCTTTACCACTGTGAGCTCAAACTCTCAGGGTAGTACCTATTTGTCCTTCAACTATGCCATTGGATGTTCTAGTTTTGCCCTTGTGTAGATTCAATTTGAACACTGTAATCTGAAAGCTTGTGTTCAAGTACTCTCTCATGGTGATAAGATAATTTATACTGTAGGATTTGCTTCGGAACAACAAGGCATGTCAGTAGATGTTATAAAGAGTGCATATGCTGCCACAGAAGAAGGCTTTATCTCTGTTGTAAAAAAGCAATGGAGCATCATGCCACAGATTGCATCGGTTGGCTCGTGCTGTTTGGTCGGTATAATATGTGGTGGGATGCTTTACATTGCAAATGCAGGAGATTCACGTGCAGTGTTAGGGAGATGGATGAGAGGCGAACGAGCAATTTCAGCAGTTCAAATGTCAACGGAACATAATGCAAGCATTGAGTCTGTGAGGGAGGAATTACGATCTTTGCATCCTGATGATCCACATATTGTAGTCCTTAAGCATAAAGTTTGGCGTGTGAAGGGTCTCATTCAGGTATTTTCATTTCTTGATTATGCTTGTGTATTTCTTTTTTCATTTTCCCCCTCATAAAATGGTCTCTGTATTCTTTATCTTAGTGGAATGTTAAGTGGGTGAGAGGTTAATTTGCGTTCATTAAATAAATTAGGGTATAATTCACGAAACCCCTTGAAGTTTGGCAAACCTGCTTAAGTTTTGGGCTTCTCAAAAAACCCCTGAAATGCTTTCAAGTTTGGCAAATACCCCCTTAACAGCGTGAGCCACAATTTTCATTGGAGGAAAATCCCCCAGCAAAAAAGTTAGCCCCTACGTTAAAGAATAAGTTACTTAAACCAAAAAAACCCAAAATTACCTTAGCATCCGGAAAAAAAACCAAAGTTCACCCATGTTGGGATTGTTTTGAAGTTTGCATTGAAGGAGCTGTTCTGTTTCTTGCTGTCTAAACCATAAGGGCACTTGTTACTTGGTCCACATCACTTTATTCCAAATTTACATTTTCATTTTTTATTGCAGATTTCCAGATCTATCGGGGATGCTTATCTAAAAGATGCAGAATTTAACCGGGCACCTCTAGTCTCAAGGTTTCGCTTATCGAGGCCATTTCATAAATCGATCCTTAGTGCCGAGCCATCTATAGTTACACATAAACTCTCTCCACAAGACCAGTTTCTCATATTTGCATCAGATGGTCTATGGGAACACCTGAGCAATCAAGAAGCTGTAGATTTGGTTCACAATTCACCTCGTAATGTAAGATTCTATTCCACTGAAATATTTTCTTGTTTCATTATATTTTTCATGTTTTTGTACTTTAATGCCTTTTATATTTATCAGGTATAGGTTTGCACTCTGTATGGTAAAAATTCATAACTCTACAGATTGAAGAAGTCGTTAAAATGAATACCGTACTGGTTGGTCTAAATCCAATTTACAGTTCAAACAATCTTTATGATGATTAATGACTAATTAAGGGAAGTATCGAACTTTGAGATTTAACTCTCGTAGTCTAGCCAAATAGAAACACTTCAAAAATGTTTCTCTTTAAACAAATATGATGTATACTTCTATAGATAAAAGGTTCTTCTTTTTCTTTTTCTTTTTTTCGTTTCTTTCATTTTTCGCCCTATGGATAGTTGTTCCGGATATCGGCGGTCAGTATCTTTGCATATAAATGCTTTGCCTTTCCAATTAAACCTTCCCTTTGTATATAGATGCCAGTTTTCAGTTCTGCTTTATTATCTTGTACGACTCTTCTTTTTCAATGGAATTGATCACCTTCATCTTCAAGGTGGCTACTTACTTTTGGCAATCCACCGTTGTTAGTGATTGATGATAATATTATAAAACTCTCCACTTCTTGAAGATCTATATTCTCTCTTATCATGTGCATTATACTGTCAAAATCTTCTCACAACCTGCCACTTCCCTCTGTTGCTACTAGCTGATGAAGATTTTTACTCTCTTATTAAGTGATTTATTACTGCCAAGTTATTCTAGTAATTCAACACGTTCTGTGTTTTTCTCTGAAGACCATTCTCTTCCTGATATTTGCTGATCAATATCATCATTAATCATATAAATTACAGGGAATTGCGAGGAGATTGATAAAGGCTGCTTTAAAAGAGGCAGCAAAGAAAAGAGAAATGAGGTACTCTGACCTTAAGAAGATTGAACGAGGCATCAGGAGGCATTTCCACGATGATATTACTGTCGTAGTTTTATATCTAGACCCTGGTCTTATCCGTAAGACTAATTACAGTGGCCCTACAATTTCATTAAGAAAGGGTGGGGCTTCATTCCCCAATTCCAACTTTCTTCTGTGAAGCTCTCAAAATGCAGAGAATTAGTTTGTCCGGTACGGGACTTAATTCTTTCTTCTGTCCTCTATGAGAGGCAGTAAAAGCTAAGAACCTTTGCAGTACAAGAAATGGATTCATCATTTTGCACTGGATATAGCTAGCAGATAGCAATAGTTCGGTGTTGTAATGGTTTGTTGGGATTCGACTTTGAGAATGCAGATAACGAGGTAAATTTAGGCGATTGTAGCTAAAATTTTCATGAAACCATTTTTAGCAAGCCATCTTATGGTACTTTTCCATTTGGCAGTATGATCGTTCTCAGCTTCTCGGTGAAGTTTTGGAGGGAATTCAGATGATAGGTGCAGGTGGTATTGTTAATTTTCTATTTCACGGCCACATCGGTGTTAGATATTACCTCTTTTCAGTTTAGAATTTTTTCAATGCAATATGATCTCTTTGTGAAGAAGCCTGCAATTTTGGAAATATTTGTAGTAATTCAACTACTACTTGTATCATCTGACATATATTTGTAGTTAAGTTTGATGCTCCTCAGTTGTACGTTGTTTGTATATACTTGGTAACTTCAGTTTACAGCAGAAGAATATAATAGACTGAAGTTGAGCGTGATGGCTTCTGTTTTTCTTAATTAAAGTGATTCTCTATTATTAACAGGGATGAAAGAATTTGCGAACTTGTTTATCCTTTACAGGTCTTGAATTAACGTCGGTAGAGAACAAAATGCTGCCAAATTCTCAGCCTTGTAGAATATTGCTCCTTGGCATTAGTACTGAAGTTCCCAGGGTTCTTACTGCGGTTAGGATCCGTTGCAGGGGTTGCTTGGATATTGTCCAGATTTGGAGGAGCATGTATTGTGATTTTTCTACAGATTGCTGAACGTGACTGATTACTGGAAAGAAAGAGATCGTCCATTTTGGCTAAGGACGGAAAAGGTCAAAGAACAATTCGATTCTTTTTCCGCATTATCTCTTCGAAAATGAGCCCGGGTCGTGTGCGTGCTGATCTTGGTTTTTGACAGGAATTAAACCTTCTTGAATGTGGTCAAGTCTATGTTCCCTTGCATTTATACGTTGAAAACGATTAAACTAGATATACGTTGAATGTTTCTTGAGGACAATTTTAATCGCATTTAGAAATTTAGAGGAAATCCTTCAAAATTACGTACGAGGCTGAGAAAGAAGACTTTGGGTATCATCTTTAACAAATTCAAAATTTACAATATTTTATCTTAAAACGGGTAAAACTCTCAAGTTATTAATCCGCAAATAATCTGTTTCATTATCATAACTAAAATTTTTAAGTATAATACTTGTACTTCCCCAAACTTTCATTCTTTCAGAATCTTTTTCCTTTCTCTAACATGCACACAGTACACCGATAATACTCGTAGCATTTTTGCATATGAATTTGATCTCATCACATAATTAGAGAATTTTATTTTATATGATCCAAATCTCTCACGGAACTTATCATTTAACACCCATTCAAACCCCCTCTGATGTGTCCCCCATTGATCCTCCTTTCTAGTTAAACCCCCGCCTCCTCCTCCGTCGGCCTCCCTCCAATCTCTCTCCCACCAAAAAAAAAAAAGAGCCCAAGAAAAAACAATAATCCAATAAAAACACATACCCAAAAATGGGCATCCGTGGTCTCATAATCTTCACCTTCTTCCTCGTCTCCCTCTCCTTCATTGTGTACTCCGCCTAGCCTACCTCAACCACAACGCCGACTGCTCCTTCTCCCTCCCTTCAAACCCTACGGCATTCGCCAACGCCGTAACCAAGATCACCAACAATGCAACCACAACAAATACACAAGAAGAAGAAGAAGAAGAAGAAGAAGTGCGTGTCGAAGATCAAGCAGAAACCAACGTAAGCCACATTGTCTTCGGCATCGCGGCCACCTCCAAGTTTTGGGACACCCGAAAAGAGTACATCGAGCAATGGTGGCGGCCGAAATCCACGCGTGGCATTGTCTGGCTCGACAGAAACGTTCGGACCTATCGCAACGAGAGCCTGCCAGATATCAGAGTTTCTTCCAACACTTCGAGGTTCCCGTACAAGCACAAGCGCGGGAGCCGTTCAGCGCTGCGAATATCGAGAATTGTGTCGGAGACGCTGAGGCTGGGGCTGGGCAATGTGAGATGGCTGGTGATGGGGGACGATGATACTGTGTTCGTTGTCGATAATGTGGTGAGACTGCTGAAGGGGCTTGATCACAGAGGGTTTTATTATGTAGGGAGCTCGTCGGAGAGCCACATACAGAACTTGCTGTTTTCGTATAACATGGCGTATGGAGGGGGAGGGTTTGCGATAAGCTACGCGTTGGCGGTGGAGTTGGAGAAGATGCAGGACGGGTGTATGGGGAGGTATGCAGGGTTGTACGGGAGCGATGATCGGATACATGCGTGCATGGCTGAGCTTGGCGTGCCGTTGATGAAGCACCCTGGGTTTCATCAGGTGAGGTTGAGATACCTTTGTTGCGTTTTCGGATTTTGATCCTCTGCATTGTCGTCGAAAAAGTAGCGGAGCCATCGCTCTGCACCATCAAAAATTGGCAAAGAGATCGCTATTTTTAACCAAACTGTCATTTTAGCAGATGGTTATGATTTATCCTGAACTTAAGCACTTGCCATAAGTTCCTTAGTTGCAGCCATCCTCGCTCTGCATTCAAAAATTAAATCCAACGTTACAATTCTGATTATCGATGTCAATAAATTTGCTTTGTGCTCTCCTACTTTTTAATGTTCTTCATCTTCATGTATGCGATCAAAATCTAGGGAACGCATTCAATAGCACTTTTCACTTATCAATTCTCTCCCCTCCAGTTATGTGGTAATTGAAGAGTATCCGAATACTCTAATCATTATCGTGGATTCCAAATTTAAGAAATGAGATTAGACCATATAGGATTCCACTATTATCCTGAAAATCACTATAACTTTGAAAACCACTATTCTTTAAAAACCACTATCACTACAGCGGAATCCTATTTGGCCTAATACAATCCCTCGAATTTGGAATGTATAATAATGATTGCAGTAATTGAACGCTCTCTAATTACCACCTAGTTAGAGACGACGATTGTAAATTCCACCTACCCAATTGGTTCACTATATATGGTAATTTGATAATGACAATTTGGATGATAATGGCTCATCAACTGATTGAAATGTGATGAGTGCTACTGTGAGTATACATCTCTGAGTTATGTCAAACCATACCAGCCATCAAACTAATCAACGGAACACTCTCTTTACAGTATGACATCTACGGCGACCCTCTCGGCCTCCTCGCCGCCCACCCGGTCGCTCCCCTCATCTCCCTACACCACGTCGACGCCATCAACCCGATTTTCCCCGACACGAACAGGCCTGACTCTATCCGCCGCCTCTTCGAGTCCATCAACCAGGACTCTGCCAGCATACTGCAGCAATCCTTCTGCTACGACCATCGACGCCAGTGGTCAATCTCCATCTCCTGGGGCTACGTCGTCCAGATCACCCGAGGCATCCTCTCGCCTCGCGAGCTCGAGCTCCCCGCAAGGACTTTTGTGAACTGGTATCGAGGGGCGAACTATTTTGCGTACTCATTCAGTACCCGCCCTGTGGCTCGGCATCCTTGCCAGAAACCTTTTACGTACTATGTGAGTAGTGTGAGGTATAGCAGGGCTACGAATCAGACGGTGAGCAGGCATTTGCTGCATGGGAGGAGGTTTCCCGGTTGCCGATGGAAGCAAGCATCCCCGGAGACGATAAAGACGGTCGTCGTTTTTAAAAGACCAGACCCGTTTCGGTGGGATAAGGTAAGCGCTAATATCTGACACTTGCATATACATTCTAAACTAGACTATTTTATTAGCACTTAATACATCTACCAATGTTTTTTTTTCCCATGTTGAGGGGTACAATGCTAATCAAATATTAGGGGGTATAGATGACTGCACTATGATAATATGGGGCTGTATATGTAATTTACCCTAGTTAATTTGTATGAGATTAGAGAATGATGTTGGGTATTTTGTTGTTGCAGTCGCCAAGAAGGGATTGCTGTAAGATTTTGTCTTCAGGGAAAGCAACAATGCACGTATCAGTGAGCAACTGTGAAGACGGGGAATATGCTGGGTCGTAAAAAGCAGGGTAAGCATCATACCATTTTTTGTGCCTATCTTGTGAAATTTGAGCGGATTATTTAACAGTGACGAATGTAAAAGATTCGCTTTGGTGTTACCTGTGCACAGTACGAAAAATCTGAAATGAAACACTACTAGCAGTCATTCATGTCAAATACAACTACACAACTGATGCCTTCTTTGTTGATTTCATCGCGAATTTACGTGGTTTTCATACTTCTAAGAGAATGTAGATAACAGTAGAACAATAGAAGAAGAAATCATTAATGCAAACCATAAACTTATGCGATAAATCAGCATGGAATTCATGTTTGGAAGACGACAACAACAACAATAACAAAGAATTTATCCCAAATTTTTGGCGACGGCATGTTTGTAATAGCATCGATATATTCACATATATAAGATAAGCTTAAGAAAAGGATAAATCCATGTCCTGGAGTATATATCAGAACTTCAGTTTCTTCTCAAACCCTAGAGGCAGTATGTCCAGCCCCATTTGCGTCGTAATCAGTAGCGAGAACTTGCCCATAAGTACCTTTAGGATCCTCATCCTCAAGATAATCGGCTCTAGCATTATCGGTCAGCATCTGGCAGACGAGCCAGAATAGGGCTGCGTCAAGAGCTAGGAAAGCAGCACCACCAAAGAGACCAGTCTTGGCAGTAGCACACTCAGCATCAGGATTATGGTGGATGTTATGGGTGCGGTGAAGACCTTCAGTGATCGTTGCCCATAGCATCATTGCCTCAGCTAACACCGTCACAACTCTGGTTTCAGAGGGAGCATGAGAATAGTATGAATACGACCAACAATAAGAACAAAGCTGATTTCAAAATATGTATGAGAAGTAACATGTTAGAGAGATGCAATTCTCATTTAATTTGATGTTGTAAGGAGGTAGGGAGGGAGAAGAGAAGGTATAGTTGTCCTGACGTTTATAATAACAATAAATAAAAAGGGTAGAATCTTTTTATGGTTACCAGTATTTAAGCAGTTTTCTATCATATAGTAATATTGTTGTTGTTGGGATACTAGTAGAGCTGAATATAGGCAATAAAATTTGAAAATTTTCTATTGTTAGAAACTAGTAGAAAGTAGTGAACAAATGTAAATATCGTGGAGGATAACCAATTATACATGAATATTGGAGGAAACATCGGGCTAAGCAGCATATGGAATACAATAGTAAGTAGCAAAATACAAACCTACGGCAAGTATGGTGACAGAACAGAATAAAGTGTTGTTCTTAGGCTAACGAATAATCAAGGGAATTCTAGAAATGTACCACGATGAAATGGTAATACAAACAAGTTAAAGATTGCTAACGAATAATCAAGGGAATTCTAGAAATGTACCACGATGAAATGGTAATACAAACAAGTTAAAGATTATTTACTAGCTGAATGCTAACTTCTAGAAATGTACCACGATGAAATGGTAATACAAACAAGTTAAAGATTATTTACTAGCTGAATGCTAACATCTACGAAGAGAGGAATTCATATAATGAAAACTTGGCTTAAATTAATAGAAAGTAGAGATCAGCTAACTACTTCTCTTACCATCAGCCAGAGCAGGAAGATGAAAACAACTTACCCTGCAATACTAAAGAAAACAGTCAATGTCGTACTGCGGAACAAAGCTTCTTTTGGAACAGATTGGCCTTTGTAGGGGAAAAACACAGCAACCACGCCAAGAAAGGCGGCTATAAGAAGTGCAACAACAGATAGGCTTCCAAGTGCAACTGTTGCATCATTTGGATACTTGCAGATGATAACACCTTTCCCTTCAATTTTAATTGATTTTCCTTCTGCAGGCTATATACCAAGCACCAAGAATAAAGATAAAAAAGGAAAGAAATTTGTAAATTGGGATATATTTACTAGAACATTAGAATCCAGTTATAAAATGGTGACTAAATCACTATAAAGCGATCGAAGAAAAGCTTGACAGGAATGTAAATACATGAAACAAAATCAAGTTTCAAAGTCACAATATCTCTTGGAGAATTCTGGCCCACACTTTAGGACGGAAGTAGGGGTGGCCTAAAAACTGTACTGTATCTGTATTCGACAGGATATGAATATGGATACTAAATATTTGCATCCGGTATCACATTACCTATATATTTTTCAAAATGTCCTGTTTTTGTCATATCTGTTGCATATCCACATTATTTGACCCGTATCAGTATTCAATATTGGCGGATATGGAAATGAATTTTACTTGACATATTCATATCCATATTCGTGATTGGTAAGCATATAGGGATAGGTAAGTATCATACCTGAGCTGCCTGCACCCCCTAGAGGAAAGTGTAACTTTGTTGTTCTCGTAGACCTCTCGGTATCAAACTGTTATATAATGGATATAATTCTATATTCTGCTCTTTCATTTTTATAAAATGGAGGCTAAGGTCCTATTTTCCCTCAAAAAAGAAATATTAACATCCCTCACTTTAGGTATTGATATCAACAGTTTCAACACTTTACTATCAGTAGCTTAAAAAATCTAAAATGAATTAAAATATATAAAAGAAGATAATTAGCAATTTTTAAAGTTGGACGCATGCTCTAGAACAAAGAAACTAACAACTATAACAGTGAGTCTTCATTGCACACCGACAAAAATTAAGTGCAAAAGATGAAAATACCTTTTTATTTTCAGCAATTATACCGAATATAAAGGCCAATGCACCAAAGAATGAAACAAAAAGAGCAAACTGTAGGGGTTTTAAAGCCATTACACCAGCACAATCAATACCTCTGCAAATGACAAATGTAAAAGAAAATTCATAAGATTATCTTGACAAAGATAAGGAAAAGACAAAGCTACAGAGATAACTATTATATAATCCACACTCAAAAAAAAACGAAAATATAACATAGAGAAAGCATTGCACATTAAAGTAGTGCTATAAATTGAAAAACACGAATGTTGCTCCTCTTCTTTTAGCAAAGTTAGTGCAAGGTCAGCACCATAGTATGCTGATGATAAATTCAATTAGCAAGCACATATTACAAACACTACAGCATTCATAAATGTAATATGTCTTCCATCATTTCAGCACAATGACTTATAAGCTCTTCAAATATATTCTGTCTTATGTCTTATACTTTTGCTCTTTTTCGGTCTTTTATTGATTAAATTATCCTATGCAATATACATACATATTCTACCATCTGCTTCAATGTTCTAATGTACACGCTTTGATTAAGCAACATAATATACAGATAATGTCATTGCACAACTTTCAAAGCCGCGTCTTCAGAAAAGCAGTTCCTCCGCAATTTTGCAGTATATAAGATTTAGCAGTTTACAGGGTTTCGCCATTTTTCTACAAGCTGGTTAATTGAAACCAAAACCTCACAAACTAGTTGATTATTCACAATCTGGTTAACTTATCTACGGCAAAGGAACAAAGATAATTCTAAAGGGAAGTAATACACAGCGGCTTTGGACCTAAAATAGAGATATTTCCATGGAACAAATAACAATAAGTTCACTAACTCATGAGGAGCTCAAAAGCTACTCTCCGAATCCTTATTCCAATTATTGGACGGCCTGCCCTCTTTGTTTTTTCTTATTCACAATTATCCATTGCACATTCAACCGAGACTACCTTTTTTATTAGAAATTTCTAAATTAGGAGTGCATAAAAATCTCAATCCGTCTTTAAAATACAATTTTTTTTTAGTGGGGAATCCTAAAAATCCGCGAAAGGTTCAAGCTTTGCCCTAAAAACATCAAAATTCAAAGGGAAAATATCTAGAAGAGATCAATCTAATAAAATTGAAAACCCAATATTCAAATTAACCAAAGAAAACAACATGAGGATTTTGTTTCCGTACCTCTCGGATCCTTCGTGATCTTTTTATTAGATCGGAATCAGAGAGAGGATTGAAAGGTGAGAACCTTTTAAACTTTAAAGAGAATACTTTGGACAAATGGAACGAGGGTATTTTGGTAACGTCGCTCAAAAGATCCCCTTAACATTTTGCTGGCAGCCGAATCTTTAATTCGTGAGGAACGTAAACCAAGATTCCATTCTAGATTAGGCCTCTTAATCAAGAAAAATAACGAAATTGCCCTGACTATACATAATCGAATACTAACCGTTGGATTACTCCAATGCATAATACCAACGGTTTTAGATTTGTTTTAGGATGTTTACAGTGATCATCGCAGAATTAGGAAAGGTGACAGCTTGGCTTGCTATTTTAACGATGAAGGTGTTCATAGTGTGAACATGGACGTGGTAGATGAATTTGGACAGTATTTTTGTCTGGATTAGAATTTTTGAAATTTTAGGTAGTAAATGAAAATTATGTGAGGTAGCTTTAATTTTTCAATGTACAGTTGGCGTGAATCATTTAATAATGGGTGATGGGTTTAAAATATTATTTTTGTACAGTTTTGTTTGTTTGTTTGTATGCGATGCAACTTATGGCACATTTTGGTGTGTATTATTTGGTGCTGGGGATACGTACAAATAGAAATAACATTGTAGAGTTTAATTTCGTAAGAAATCTGCAATCTTTGTTTATTTGATTGAAATTCCAATTCTTTTTGTTACAATCATGTTATATTTAGTGACAACTCCTCAGCTGTATGGCCTCCCTCTTTGTGATTTCCTCCAATTAAATATGAATTATACGGCAAAATAGTTATCATGTTAAACATAAAATGAAGGAAATCACAAAATAATAGCTTTGTAGCAGGAAATGAACTAAATATGGTATTTTTATTCCTTGTTTACTATTTCTTTTATCTTTGTAACATTTACAAAATATTACACATGTGATGATGACAAGCGGGCAACAAGGTGCGCCACTAATCCTTTCTGAATTACAAAACTCAACCTACGAAACACGTACTCAGCTGACCATGTTGTCGCCACATTCATATTCATGGATTTTTGTACCCTCTTGAGAAACTCCACCGCATCAGCTGCAAGGTAACCAAACGTATCGAACGCGAACGGGATGAAACTGTGGTGGTTGTAGCTGCAAGGTAACCAAACGTATCGAACGCGAACGGGATGAAACTGTGGTGGTTGTCCTTGCAAGCTTGATCATGTTGTATCGAACGCGAACGGGATGAAACTGTGGTGGTTGTCCTTGCAAGCTTGATCATGTTTGCCCACCTTTACCTCTGTCGCCCTATCCGCTGCACGCCCAATCGTGAACACTCAATTATCAAACTCCACCAACAGAGACACCCCAGTGAGGATCAACACAAGCTGCACATTGTCCCCTCCACGAATAAAGGAACCAACAACCTGTATCTGAGGATGGCCAGGTACTCCCCCAGAGTCATACACTGTCACAATCCCTCAGTAGGCGTGACCAACAAGAAATCCGGGACGTGCTTTGCCCGCAGGCACCCAACAATCGCAATCTTCCTCTCTGATAGGTCAAATTCCGTCGGTAGATCTCTACAAACGCCACCCAAAAAGATGTCTGCTAAGTAATACATTGGTTTTGGAGGGACAAACCCTTTAGTAGTGATTTGAAGAATGTCAACCTCAGGTAACTTGGCTTGAAGAAAGGCCCAGACAGAAGTAAAATGCTCACCTAAAGAAACATCACCACAACCTCTCAAAATGTGGTCTTGGATCCTCGATGGAGTGAATCCTAAAAATCTGCAATCCTTGTTTTATTTTTATTTTTTTGGCCAATCAATTTCGGGGCACGTGCACATCACACATTCTCCGCCCGAGCACACACAAAAAGATTCTGCACTAGTTTTAGTTTCTAGTCAGGACGGTGGGCCTTGCATTTGTAAACGAAATCGAGTTGATGGGCCTATCTAGTGCACAATTGGGCTTGGGGAAAGCCCAAAAAAAAGATTACGGTAAATTTCCGTTGCCGGGACTTGAACCCGGGTCTCTCGGGTGAGAGCCGAGTATCCTAAAAATCTCCACATGGAGTAAGAACCAAGATAAACTCCACCACTATAGCTCGCCTTCACCTTTATCATGCACACCTATCATTTGATCTTTTTGCTTTGTGCCCCAAAATGAGTCCCTGGCTCTGGTTTGATGGCACGTGATTTGTTATGAGCGCCAGATCCAGAGTTGCATGTGACTGTTTTTTTGTGCTTTGTACATGTAATTTAATTGTTGGAGTATTTAATTTAGATTTAATTTGATAATAAAAGTATTCACTACCGGGGGTGTTAGTCTCAGCTAGAACATTTTTGATAGAAGTGAGACAATTTTTATTATGGGGTAACTTTTTAATGTGGGATATTTTAATGGGATAATTGAGAGTGATATTTTAAAACATGATATTTTAGTGGGACAATTGTTAGTATAATTAAGGATAATTTTTAGAAATCAATAAGCATATAAGTCATGTATTTTGATGATCATACTACTATTATACATTTTAAAACTTATTATTATTATCATTATTATTATTTTAGTGGTAATTAATCTTGAACAACTATTAGATAGACTATTAGATTAACTTTTTGATTTTTTTGGAATTATTATTGTAATATAAATTTAAAAATTAGTTGTTTTTCCTTTTTTTTCTCTTTCTTTTTTGATCTACCATACATCATTCCATCGTCTCTTAATTTTAATTAATTTTTAATAAAATATGAATTTTGTAATTTTTAAATTTAAATTAATTATACAATTCAAATATTTAATAAAAGATAAAAAATAACATTAAATAGAAGGGAATGATAAGAAGAGATGTGATCTAATTTTATGGTGTGGTTTGAAGATGACGGAGAAATGAAATACGAAAAATAAAAAAGTAAATAATAAAGTTCTAGTTTTTTATCATGTAGTTCTAGCTTAAAACTTGGGGCAATTTGAGAGACTAAAACTCTCTCTTTTCTATATAAATTTAACAAAAGTGGGATAAATTTTTACAATTATCTCAGTTCTACTTTTTATCATGTTCTTGTTGACTAACACTGTATAATTTTATTCTAGTTCTAGTTCTAATGGACTAACACTATAAAATATTATCCCACAATTTATCCCAGTTCTAATTTTGAGTTCTACTTGACTAACACCCCTACGTAGGGCTATCCATCTGGGCCGGGCCGGCTCGGTTTTTTTGGTTTTTTAATTTTTTAAAATTTTTAAAAATCCCAATAAATCATAAAATATACATAAAAATTACAAAAAATGACATAAATTTTTTTTAATAACTTGAAATGATATAAATTATAAGTACAAAAAATTATAAAAATAAAAGATGATAAAAAATAACTTCTTTATTAATAATTAATAAATCTTTTACAAGTATAAATTTATTTCAGAATTCGTCGTATCACAATAGATGAGTACATCCCAACTAGGTTGGTACCTACTCACCTATATCACTGTAACTTTTTTCTAAATATTTCATTATAAAATTAAAGCTAAGAAATAAATATTATAATTTAATGAATATTATCTAATCTTTATACCTATCTGCCAGTCCCAACTCTTCAAATTTATCTGCAATTCCAGCCATCCGATTGATGCCTTGCGCTCGCTTCTCATACCTCCACCAATCTTGTAAGCACATCACCGTTTGTAAAGTATACGGATCTAAGCATGTCCTGTGGTCGTCGATCAAACGTCCTGCTGTGCTGAAGGAGGATTCCGAAACTACCGTCGAAACCTACACTATTAGTAAGTCACGAACCATGGTGGAAAGTATATGATATGAAACTGATCCATATACTCTCCACCATTCTTGTTTTATTTTTATTTTTTTGGCCAATCAATTTCGGGGCACGTGCACATCACACATTCTCCGCCCGAGCACACACAAAAAGATTCTGCACTAGTTTTAGTTTCTAGTCAGGACGGTGGGCCTTGCATTTGTAAACGAAATCGAGTTGATGGGCCTATCTAGTGCACAATTGGGCTTGGGGAAAGCCCAAAAAAAAGATTACGGTAAATTTCCGTTGCCGGGACTTGAACCCGGGTCTCTCGGGTGAGAGCCGAGTATCCTAAAAATCTCCACATGGAGTAAGAACCAAGATAAACTCCACCACTATAGCTCGCCTTCACCTTTATCATGCACACCTATCATTTGATCTTTTTGCTTTGTGCCCCAAAATGAGTCCCTGGCTCTGGTTTGATGGCACGTGATTTGTTATGAGCGCCAGATCCAGAGTTGCATGTGACTGTTTTTTTGTGCTTTGTACATGTAATTTAATTGTTGGAGTATTTAATTTAGATTTAATTTGATAATAAAAGTATTCACTACCGGGGGTGTTAGTCTCAGCTAGAACATTTTTGATAGAAGTGAGACAATTTTTATTATGGGGTAACTTTTTAATGTGGGATATTTTAATGGGATAATTGAGAGTGATATTTTAAAACATGATATTTTAGTGGGACAATTGTTAGTATAATTAAGGATAATTTTTAGAAATCAATAAGCATATAAGTCATGTATTTTGATGATCATACTACTATTATACATTTTAAAACTTATTATTATTATCATTATTATTATTTTAGTGGTAATTAATCTTGAACAACTATTAGATAGACTATTAGATTAACTTTTTGATTTTTTTGGAATTATTATTGTAATATAAATTTAAAAATTAGTTGTTTTTCCTTTTTTTTCTCTTTCTTTTTTGATCTACCATACATCATTCCATCGTCTCTTAATTTTAATTAATTTTTAATAAAATATGAATTTTGTAATTTTTAAATTTAAATTAATTATACAATTCAAATATTTAATAAAAGATAAAAAATAACATTAAATAGAAGGGAATGATAAGAAGAGATGTGATCTAATTTTATGGTGTGGTTTGAAGATGACGGAGAAATGAAATACGAAAAATAAAAAAGTAAATAATAAAGTTCTAGTTTTTTATCATGTAGTTCTAGCTTAAAACTTGGGGCAATTTGAGAGACTAAAACTCTCTCTTTTCTATATAAATTTAACAAAAGTGGGATAAATTTTTACAATTATCTCAGTTCTACTTTTTATCATGTTCTTGTTGACTAAC